GCATTGTGGGAAGACTGAGGGGGCTAAGAACACCTGCACATTTCCAAATGAGCCATTCAGCCTTTGGGCCAAAATGATGTTATAAGTTGTTTTTCTTTTATTTCCATGAGCAATGCAAGTGTCAAAATATTTACTACAGCTCTCCAGAAATAGACTTTTGGTTTAGCCAGCCTTCCAGGTATTTAAATGGGACGATTATGAAATAGGACTTGTCCTTGGCAGAAATGCTAACAAATGACAGAAGTGGATTTACCTTGTCTTCCGATATATGCGTATATATATATATATATAAATATATAGTGTCAGTAAGGTTTTTTTTTAAATAAATTAATTCTACTTTTCCTTTATGCAAGGATGCATTACATTTACAGTAAATTATAGCATATTAGAATGATTTCTGAAGGCTCATGTGATAAGAATAATGGCTGCTGAAAATTCTGCTTTGCCATCACAGGATTAAATTAAATGCATTTTTTAAATATATTAAAATAAAAAATAAAAACTTTTAAAATTAAATTAACTTTAAAAAAAATAAATATTAAATATTTGTTATTTATTTACTACATTTTTACAAAATTTTTTTTTTGTATTTTTAATAAAATAAATGCACACTTGGTGAGCATAAGAGACTTCTTTCAAAAACATGAAAAAACTGTAATATATATGTAATTGTTTTTCTAAGATAATGATTTACTTTTGAGTAGCTATAGCTGTATGTAATTTTTTTAATTCAGTAATTTTCAGTTATTAAGATCAGACAGTGATAGTTTGTCCTTTTTGACCTGTTCTCTCAGCACCTGGGGAAATGAGTTTATCCGTTGGTTTGATTCCACCCAGCTACGTGCTAAGCCAAGTTGTCATCATCTTTTTATTAAAAAGATCTCTCCTTTAGTGTCTCACTTTTCTAAAAGATGTGCATTTGTGAGTCATGACAGGTCAGTATGGATTTAATCGCTACTTTAAAAGCATCCTTTTGTTTCATCATAAATAAGCGGCCCCCGTGGTGTGCTACAATAAAGCACAGTTTAAATGCTTTCATTCCTCATGCGCTCTTCCTCTCCGCAGATCCCGAACATAAATAATGGACCCCTTTTTGTAAGTCAAACGGTAGGTTGTGAGTCAAAGGAGATGAATTCTAATAGCTCCCCTACCACACACACACACACAAGCGCACACACAAGCACACTATTCCCTCAACTTGTGCAAGGTACACTGAAGGCAGTGAGTGTGAAGGAGCAAGAGCTATGCTTCATTTTGAGGTAATGACAGTCCCTGTAGATCTATGCAAATGCCAGCTGCCGCATTGGCTGCTGTAAAAGATGGTAGCAATTAGGCCTTGCTCTTAAAACAAGGTGAGTCAGGACCTTTTAATGGTGCACTGTTCCTCGGCTCCCACACATGTGGCGGCTCATGTTCCTGTGCCAGAGAAAGCCACGGCCAGCATATGAACGTGCGACTCAGGAGGTCATTGTGTGGGTTTAACATGATTTATGATGTGTACTTTTATTGTTGAAAATCAGGATTGTCATAAATTTTATAGTTTTGGTAATAATGTAAAACCGACTTGGTTTGCCTGAGCTACTAGTCAAATAATCAGTTTTAAAGGGACAGTTCACCCAAAAATGACAATTCTGTTATTGTTAGTAATCCATCTGTTTTGGTGACCATTGACAAAAACCCCTGAGACGTTTCTCAAAATATCCTCCACAGAATAAAGCAAGCCATACAAGGTTTGGAACAAGGAAATGATGACATTTTGTGTGAATTTGTTTATGGAAACCCTGCATGATTAGAACAGTTATGGATTCACCTGACTCCAATTTAAGATCAGGTTTTAAGATCAGATGTGTTCTTGTGTTCAAAAACAGTGGTCTTGAGACATGCTTTTATTGGTTTTAACTTGACACATTGTTTTAAAATCCTACATTTATAGTGGGATGCTCAAAAAACAAAAGACATCCATCTCAATGTGTAGAGTTGTAGCAGAGGTGCATTAAAAGAACAGTTCACCCAAAAATGAACCCTCAGGCCATCCAAGATGTAGATGAGTTTGTTTCTTCATCTGAACAGATTTGGAGAAATTTAGCATTACATCACTTGCTCACCAATGGATCCTCTGCAGTGAATGGGTGCCGTCAGAATGAAAGTCCAAACAGCTGATAAAAGCATCACAATAATCCACAAGTAATCCAAATGATTCCAGTCCATCAATTAATATATTGTGAAGTGAAAAGCTGTGCGTTTGTAATAAACAAATCCATCTTTAAGATATCTGTTACTTCAAACTATTGCTCCTTCTAAAGTATGAGTCCTCTATCCATAATATTGCTTTCTCAGATATGGATAAATCAGCTGATTAATTAAGTAACTTGTTGGATCCTTGCCCATCATAACTAAACCCTAGTGTATTATTTTCATTTATAAAGTGTTCAAAGTCCTTGGCTAAATGAATAATCCTGTCATACTGTAAATCTATTCACATATACAAAAACTATGTATAGTTTTGTTACTCCTAAGTTGGTTTTGACAGGTTGTTTCTCTTTTTTTCTCAGCTTTCCTATTTTTGGGTCCCTGGTGTTTCAGACCTTGATGGAAGTACAACAGATAATTGGTATTTAGACTACAGTTTATTTTTCATGGTCCTTGAGTCTTTGGCCTTGAGTGGTTTGCAGTGAAAATTATCCTGTAGGGCATGTGTGATGTGCATATATTCGAGACCTGAAGCTTTGGCCATGGAATACATTTGCAGTTTGTCTTTAGGAGTATGTGAAAGGAATATGACTTACAGAATCAGGAAGTAAACTGAATGAACAACAGCATTAATACAATAGGTTTAATAGGTTGGTTGGAAATTATGTATGTGGCTTTTACACTATCAAAAGTGACAAACAGATGAATGCTTTTAGTTTACAGGAACTAAATAAACTGCTATTAGTTCTGTTAATGTCTCTCATTTCCTCAGCAGAGCTTTTTTTTTCTTCAGGTTTTTGGACAGAAGATTAACTCTGTGATTGAAGCCAAATGGCTTTGTCCAGGCTGTCTGGTCTGGTCCTGACCAGACAGAAATTCCAAGCCAAAACAGTCATGTCTCTCAACAAACCATGTGCTTCAGCATTTCCAATCCAAATACATGATTTGGTGTATTTGAGTGTTTGCATCCAGGTAAAATGGAGCAGAAAGACACCTGTTTTGTGGTCCATTTATGATTAATTGAAGCACTGCAGGCAAATTTCTGCAAAATGCCTAAACCATAAAATAAAAGTCATTTATGAATTAGAATTGAAATATTTAAGACCTAGTGCACATAGTATGAATTTGGCCACAATTCTGCCATCTGAGACTAATTTTAGCAATTGCAAAAGATTTATTTTATATGTAATATACAAATATAGAAGATGTAGACCATATTTTACAGAGAGTACACGCAGCTTAAATGTGTTTCAACAAAGATGATTTATGTACATAATTCATTTAGACCATTCATGATTATGTAGTGGCTCCACTGCCCATCTCTAAAACATCACATACACATTCCCAGTCAAAAGTCTCTCTGCTCACCAAAGCTGCATTTATTAAATAAAAATACAGTTGAAACTGTAATATTGTGAAATATTATTAAAATTTAATTTAAACTGTTTTTTTTTAATGTAATTTAAAATGTAATTTATTCCTGTGATGGCAAAGCTGAATTTTCAGCATCCATTGCTGCAGTCGTCAGTGTCACATGGTCCTTTGGTATTGATCAAAATGCAGCCTTGGTGAGCATAAGGGATTTCTTTCAAAAATATTTAAAAAATCTTTATTATTTCTAACTTTCAACCATCTCAGTAGATGCGGATTCCTGAATGTTAGATCTCTAAATCAAACAGCAGCCATTATGAGTGTAGTGTATTGTGTTGAGCTCCGACACAGCACATATTTTCATGCATTTGTTGTGCATCACTGCATCAAATGTACAGGTCATCGCTGCATCTCCTAGGGACGTTCAAGATTTTAATTAGCAATTCTGGGATTACAGGAGAGCTTCAGGGGGCTGGCGGAGAGCTGATTTTGTAGGGCTCAGTCTCTGAGCTGGGGAATTTAAACATGAATACATTATAGGCTTAAGATATATTCATGCAAGGGCATATGTGTGATGCATATGTTATCAGCATTAGAAGAAAAAAAACATGCATAAAACTTAACTCATTTGTGGCTACATGGGTTTGTGATCTATAAATGTGCCGTGCCTTATGGTAACTGTAAAAAAGGGGATGGGCTGTAAATTTAACATCCAAGTCTGAGACCACTAGTGAAAATGCCTATATTTTACATTTTTGTAAATTAATAAAACATTTTTTATTATGACTTAAATAATATAATATATATTATATTATATATATATAGGTTGTAAGATTTTTATGTTTTTGAAAGTTCTTCAAGGTTGCATTTTATTAAATGTACATATCATTTTATGTATTTTTATTTTAATGAAAAATCCCAGATTTTCAATGTGGTGACTGACCTTTTGACCCCAATGTATGCTGTTTATAATACCAGGTAAACAAAAACTATTCACATGTTTAGTGCACTTGATAGGACTGAATGTTTGCAGAGAACAAGGCCATGTGTCTGAGGGTGACCTTGCTCATGTATGTGTGTGCATGTGCTTAAAATGGCTGCAGTGATAAACAAACACTCATCTTCAGTTCACGGCTGCTATCAAACGCTACTCCCGCTCATGATGCATGAGCCAGGTCACTAAAGCCACGTCTGTTTCACCTCAGAAATAAAAAAATGAAAACAGCAACAACAAAAAGAATTCCAAGTGCCTTGCCCTCGCGACAGAGCGAACGCACGTGCCCAGTATAGAATAAGCCCCGAGCTGTCAGAGCTAATTGAAAGTAATAGAGACTGCAGTCATTGGATTAGCATGTCAGACATTGATACTGTCGGGCTGGAAACAGTTGGTCCAGAGATTGAATGATATTACAATTGGCAGGGGCTGTTTCCAAATGCGGACTGTGAAAGGCTTTGGGCGTTTTGCTTTAGGATTTTCAAAGGTGTGAATCTTGTTTCATGATTTATCAGAATTTTGTCCTCCGGAGAGGAAATGCATAATGCAAAGAGGCCTTAGGGTGAGCGGTGACCTAATAATTTTTTTTACTTTTTTTTTTTTTTTTTTACAGAGGATCTTGAAAAAGTTAGTCAAGGATAACTTTTCCTCAAGAAATATTGCTCTCACAAATAATACAAAAAAGTTGCTACATTATCTGCTGGTAATATAAAAATTTCTGGCTGCTATTGCTAGAATATAAAAACATGATAATAAAGTATTTACTTCTTTTGCTGTAGGATGCAACATTAACATATCTTATGACTTTTTTTTTTTTTTTTGATGAATAGTTAAAGGGATATTTTACCTAAAATCCTCTAATCAATTACTCACCCTGATGTTGTAGAAAGCCCATATGACTGACTGACTTTTGTATACCAAAAATAAATAAATAATTGAAGAATATCCAGGCAGTTATTTTTCCATATAATAAAATGTAATGAAGATCGGAGCAGCCAAGCTCCAAAATGACAAAATTAACACCATAAATGTGGTTCCTACAACTTCTGAACTCATATGATAGCTTTTTATTCATTTGCAGTTTGTCATTTTTGCTTCAACTTAAACTTATTTCAGTTAGTTGCTAATTTTTGTAAATTTTTTCTAACTAATATTTATATTTTATTTCAGATTTATTTAAATTAATACAACTATTTTAATAGTCTTAGTGTTAGTTAATGATACTAACCCTGGCTATAGCCTATAGAACGTCCTTTAGAAATGAACTTTTAAGTAAATGATGACAGAATATTGTTTTGTTTTATCCATTTAAATATTCCATGAATTTAATGGTTTTGGCTTAACCAAGCCTTTGTTTAATTAAAATAATAGAAAGTATGACTAAAGCTCTAAAACTAAGTTTTGATGGTTATCATTCTACCTTTTTTTATTATTATTATTGTTGTTCATTTGCATTTAGTGGTTCAGTGTTGATGCACCCACTGCCCACATCTTCTGGTTAGTCATCAATTCTTCTTCGGATTCCTCAGATATATCTTACAAAAAAACTGCAAATGCTTCATTTAGTCTACATCTGGACCCATGCTTTCAAGTTTTTATTTTTTTTATTTTTTGACATTATAAGTGCAATGTAACAGATTTACCAGAATATGATCATCTGATCTGTAACGTGTGCAACTGACATTTCACAATAAACTTCCCCCTCTGAAGAAGATGAAAACCGACACAACCATCTGTTTTCAAGTTTGATAGCCCTATATCATAAATTGGTCTTTGAGGGCAAGAGAGGAGAGTTCTTCACGACAAGAAAGAAAATTAAAATTTGGCCTTAATACAGTAATAAAGTGACAAATTATGTCCCATTTTCTTCAGGCGACTTTGCTTGAGGAAGTATTGGAAGACGCCCATGGGAGCAGCCAGTCATCCATCACAGGCCAGCGTTGAGTCCCACAGCAGCAAAGCAGCTAATAGCGACACAGAACCCTGGGGAGGAGACCGAGCAGTCGCCTGCTACGAAAACAGAGCAGTGGAGGGGATCAAGGTTTGTTTTGTCCCCTGCGTTTTTCAGGCTATTATTTATTCTGCCTGGGCGGGTGAAATATCAGCGTCCTTGGCCGCTGGATCTCCTTCTCCCTTGCGCAACTGACAGATCTCATTATGAGATAAAAATGACAAAGATAGCTCATGATGCTTCAGAGAAATGTAAAACCATTAGCAGGTCATTGTCATAGTTATAATGTGTCCTTTTAAGCAGCTTAGTGAACTGGTGTTGAAGTGTGATATCGGGATTAACCTATGAGGGAGTTTTGCTGCGCCGTTCAGCTACTGTTGATGAAATTGCGACGTGCGCTTTCAGGGCTCTGTGGAGAAATGGCAGAGTTCTGCAGGTTACAGAAAGAAATGGGGCTGTTTGTGATGGGAAAGAAGAAAGTCGACTGCAATGGGTTAAAGTCTTATTTTCCTGCATTTTGCTTTTCAAATTAATGCACTCTTTACCTTTTCTCAACAGGCCTGATGGAGAGTTCAAAAAACTATTGTGTAAATTGACTTGGAAAGAAATAACAACAAATCTTTGCACCATTTTGCATCAGTGTCATAAAGAAAATCAAATGTAATGATGCAATTTACACTAACATTACAGCAATCTGATGCAACCGAATCATTGAGTCAGGCACTTGAACTTTATTTGTGAATGAATCATTCTGACCAGTATTGTGAACTGTGTCCACCAGTTCATTCAAATGAACAATTTGTTCACAAATCAGACATAAAATTATAGTGCAGGAGGCATAATGACCACTTTTATATTGCTTTTATTTTTATAGTCCCAGTCCTCATTCACTTTCATTATATGAAAAAGAATGGCCAGGATCAGTGTTATTTTATTAATATTTATATAATAATTATTTTTCATTAATATTTTGAATTAGCTTTTATTTTTTATATTTTCAGTTTTAATTTTAGATTCATTTTTTTGTTTTTGTAATATTACTATTTTTTTTAAATCAATTTTAGTTTTGCTGGCATTACTGAAGTTGCGAAAGTGAGCTCTCAGGGTTCTGCGGAGAAATGACAGAGTTCAGCAGGGTCACCGAAAGAAATGAGGCTGTTTGTGACGAGAAAGAACAAGAGAGAAAGGGGTTAAAGTCTTATTTTCCTGTGCTGTATGTTGCAAATTTATGCATTCTTTACCTGTTATGTGTAGGCCTCATGGGGAGTTCCAAAAATATTGGGTAAATTGTCTTTGACAACAAATGTTTTGCACCATTTTGCATCGGTGTCATAAAGAAAATCAAATGTAATGATGCAATTTACACTAACATTGCAGCATTTTGATGCAAAGTCCTGGTTTCATAATCGCTGATAGAGTTAGTGCTGCCTATAATTTGTCTAGTCAGGATGTGAGTAAACAATTTCAAATCTGTTTTTCACCCAATGTCTGCTCTCAGAGAATAGGAGATAAAGGTTTCAAGCACACATAGCAGATTCCTCGGCACAATACATTCAGTAATGTGGATTAATTATTGCTCAGTGTTTTTTTTGGAGAGTCTGTTTTGCAGCAGCGAGTTATTACTGAGCCCTATCAATCATTCTATTAACTCTGGCTATGCCTTTGACATCACATTAGTGAATGTAACTCATTATCTGGAGGGAAATTAGAGTAGTGCGGATCCAGCCATGCGTTATGTCTCTCTGCCCCCGTAGCACACAACTCGGAGTTGTTTGATTGCTATGCCTGCTAGAACTGAAGTTGATTAAGTAATGACAGATACAGTATCTGCGGTTGCACTCCAAACTAATTCATCATTAGTGGCAGTATCACAGGTCGCTAATCTTACGCAGCTGAACGAAGCTCCCAGAAAGCTGTGACTTTTTCACACTTTTACACAAGTAGCATCCAAAATATCAAACTTCACAGATACACGAGCCAAATCGCACAATAGCGAAATTAGCGAACGCCCAAGCATACTGTCGAGTCGTGAAAAAAATTGTGAACTTGTTCCGAGGAGCGATCCACGGTGGAGGCTCAGCTAAATCTGCCATTCAAGCTGCTACAGATATTGAGAATGGAGCCAGAGGATGTGACACGTATAGATGGACTTTCTGGTAATTTTTGTTTTTCTGGCGGCACGATTTAGCTCCTTCGTGCCATTAAAAGTTATTTCGATTACATTTTCATGCAACCTTGACCTTCTGCGCTGCAATAACAATCAATACAGTAGCCATTAGCATCCACGTAATTTGCTGCAGAAAAAATAAGCTAACAGCCTCTCGGTCTTTTCCGCCATTTGTTTAGGAAGCAGATGGAGCAAACTAAAGAGCTTGTAGGAAAGATGGATTTAATGAATTAAAACCCAAGATGCAAATTTAGATTTCTGTAATTACACTAGCTGATCATTACGATTTTTCAGCGCAAACCTTCTGCCATCTTGTCTTTTGGCAGGGCCCATGTCCTTAAGAAACAATTGCAAACATATGTTCCCTACGAGAAAGGTGACACAAGTTTTAGATCTCTTTCTCCTTAAAGATGACCTTTAAAGTCACAGGAAGTGGAAATGGACCAAGATGGCTGTGGTAATTTTACCCGAGGGAGTCAGATAGCTTTGTGCTAATGACTGATGAATATTAGCATTGACTTTGGACTACAGTTAGTTGTAGGCTGCACACCCTGTTCCCATTGTAGTTTGCTATTATAAATCATTTTGTTGGTACACAATGGCTCAGGGGCATGAATGTGTGCTAAATGAGACTGTATTTGAGAAATAAATGAGAAATGTATTGTTGATCCTGAGATTGCCAAGGTCATTATAACAAGCTCTTAATTGCACAGAGAATTTTCACTTTTTTCCATATTATCGGTATGTGCAAGAGAAACTGATTTGATTATGTTAATAAAGCATTCTCTCATATGTGGTAATGGAGGTGCAGTTCAGAATCATTAGCAGCAAAAAGAAATCCCTGTTTAGATTTTCCTCTAATGCAGGCTAAGGAAAGTGCACATTTTTAATGGTATTGATCAAGGTCTACTGAGCTCTGGGGTCTGCTCTAATTACGACCTCTTCTTCACAGTTTCTCGCGTAATGATGCCCACAAAGCAATTATTGCTCGTCCCATTTATCTGATTCATCATAGGAATGATACCTAGACAATGGAAAAATGAAGCATTGCGGTGTGAATGTGCTTCAATGAAAACACACGTCCATTAGATTCTGCATAATGTTTAGAGCTCCCTTATTCAGATCCACCATTATGTTTCACCATTATGTTTCTGGGTTTAATAGAAGTCTACCTCAGTGTACAGCATTTGTTTCATGACGTTGATTACTAAAAATCACAGATAGACTAAGGCATTAGTAAGATTATTATTTAAATAAATACTGCAAGTGACCGTAAGACCAAATATATATTTTTTTTTTTTTTCTTTTCTTTTTTTATATACATTCTGTTCTTTTGCATGTTCTATTCATCAAAGAATCCTGAAACAAAAATATCATTAATTTATAATAGTAAGAAATGTTTCTTGAGCACCAAATAAACATATCAGAGTAATTTCTGAAAGATTATGTGACATTGAAAACTGGGGTAAAAATATATAAAAACAGTTATTTTTAATTGTAATAATATTTCACAATATTGCTGTTTTTACCTAATTTTTGTTTAATTTTGATCATAAAAGACTTAGTGAGCATACAGTCTTCTGTCAAAATTATTATTGTATATATTTACATTTTGACAAATATGAATTATTATTCATAAAGTTAATTAATTCAAATTAAAAACATAATTGTAGAAGTATGTGTGAATTACATTTTTTTATGTATTAAGTTAATAGATCCAGACAAAATGCTTCAAATACTGTTAATTAAGTTTAACATGAAATAAATATTTTCAGTCATTGCCTTCCCTTCTTTCTTCCTCTCTCTCATCACCAGGAGAGTCTGTGGTGTGTTCACACAAAATTGAGTGCTTAAGGATTTATTCCATCGTACAAATCTGCAACAGCTGGAGTGGCACACAATGCATGTAAACTTTGTGTATATAATTTGGTGACAAATCAAGCTTAATCATGCCGCCGCTTGGCTGAGAAGAGGCGAGGAGAGGAGAGAAGCATCTGGACTCTGAACAGGGAACACAAACGGGCAGGAAACTCAGCCCTGCTGATGAACATTAGCAGACAGGGTACGGGCGGCAGCAAATGCTGCAAAATAAGTAAGGTGAATGACTCTGTATGCACAGAGCCTACGTTTTTCATACACAATATGAAAATGGCTTATGTAGCTTTTGAAAACTGAGCCACAGAGGTTTGCTTTTTAATGGATTATTCTTGAAGACAAAATGGATCCAAGATTCATGGCATTGTAGAATATATGCAGAGGGTTGAAGTGCTTAAATAATACCAGAGATGCCAAAATGCAAGCAAATATATGCTTGAGATATTTACAGTCATGTGGCATTTTTTGCATCTTGATGTGAACTTTGGTGGATGCAGCATAGCATGTTTTAAATAACATGAGGTTAAGTAAATAACTAATAATTCTTAAAAGGAGTAGTTCATCCAAAAAAAAAAATCCACACAACTCCAGTCCATCAATCAACATTTGTGAAGTGAAAATCTATCAATATGTTTTTTTTTACTTCAAACTTTTGCTTCAGGCTAAATGTCCTCTACACATAATATTGCTTTCTCCAGTGAAGTGAAAACAGTCCAAAACAGTTCTAAACAAACATGTTTGTGGATTTTGATGTGAGGACAACAAGGGATGGATTTTTTCATTGGAGGAATCATTATTATGGATTATGGGGTCATATTATGGTGAGACGTGGCAGTTTAAAGTCTTACAAACCATTTTTCACTTCACAAGAAGTGAGGGATTGGAGACGTGTTGTGGATTATTGTTTTTATCAGCTGCTTGAACTTATTAATGCTTAATATTATGCTAAATTATGCTAAATCTGTTCCGTTGAACAAACAAATTCATCTACATCTTGGAATGCCTGACAGTAAATTTTCAGATTTTTAAATTTTTGGGTGAACTACTA